CGCGGGAAATTGATACCTTTTAATTTTATTTATTTAACTGATCAATTAGTTGATTGAAATTAATAGATTGAGACGTGATGTTCTCGTAGCAAAAAGTCAGCATATTTATGGGAGATGCTCGTCGTATTTCCAAATCAGTGATGTTAATCAAACAAATCTATGTTACATGTTCAATGCTGAAGTGCCATCTGAAGAGAAAATATTAAAGCCAGCCAGAATATGAAGTTAATTGTGATGACTATTTTCTTCCTAGAAACCGATTTTTTACAATTTTCAAATGATTTGCAGTATAGTATGTCTTATGTATGACTGTTGACTTTTAATAAAACACAAAAAAGTCTAAAAATCTGTACAACAGCGACTTAAAATCGAATATAAAATAGTGAGACAATCTCTCGACAGACTCTCGTCTTCGTATCCGTAGCCATTACTGCTTTGGCAACGTTTAAGAGGGAAATATATACTAAATTTTTATCATCATGCATTGGGAACATCACGTCTTACCTACTAATTGATTTAAATAAATAAATAAAATTAGCGAAACCTACCGCTTTTGTGGGGTTTTCCTGGACAAAAACTTTCAAAACGGAACTAACAAGAAAGCCGAAGTGTTTATCCGCGTTTGACGTTGAGCATGCGCAGTGTTTAACCGGATACCATGTTTTTATGGTATCCGGTTATGGATTTGGCCCAGATTTGGCCAGAGCCCCTCGTCGTGCTCCGTTGACCGCGCGTAAGAAGGGCTCTGGGTACGAGAATGGGTCGAACGCGCGTAAGAAGGGCTCTGGGTACGAGAATGTATATAGCGCGAAGGTCAATCTCGTTCCCCGAGCCTGCGATCCTCGGGAAGGAACGCGAGGCTCTGGGATAATCCGTTGCTGGAAGCCAGGAATTGTGGCTAAGATTGAACTACGCATGCCATTTCAACGGCCAATCAGATTCCTCCCTGAAACGGATTATCCCAGAGCCTCGCGTTCCTTCCCGAGTCGGATCGCAGGCTCGGGGAACGAGATTGCGCGAAGGTCTGAGCATTTTATGCTCAAGTAAATCTGAACTGTTTTAAACAGTAAAACGAAGAGATTTACATTAAAAAAATTCAGAGGCGGCAGAAATCGAGAAGCTGGCGGTGACGCTAACCAAGTTTATTTTTATTTGGCCTTATTAATACTCTTATTCTTAATTTTTTTAAATATTATATTGTATGTGTTGCTGTAAATAGTGCATGGCTAAATATTGAATTAATGTAATTAATTTAGAGTTACAGGACCCCACTGAAAAACACTTCGGTGATGTGGGTCACCTGTATAAATCAGGTTCGTACATGTCAGGAAGAGTCAAATTCAAGGGCGTTTCAAGGACTAAATACTGAAGAAAAGGGGTTAGAAATCAGTAAAATCTGACTTTCAATTTTTCAAAACGCAACTTGAAACAATTTTTCAACAAAATGTCCCTTTTGAATGTCAAACAATTTCAGAAAACATCCAAAAACTAAGGCAAGAAAAATTGCACTTCTTTGCATTGTAAAGAAGTACTTGAATTAAGTCCTTAAATGAATGAATGAATGAATTAAGATATTCAAGGCCTTGAATTTTTGTTTTCAAATTCAAGGACATTCAAGGACTTTCAAGTTTTGTACGAACCCTGATAAATATGAAGAAAATAATAAAATATGCTTTTAAAATATCACTCTGAACATCAATTTGGTGCATGTTATACATCAAATGATGCATGTGCACTTAGGGGCGGACCATTAGAAATCCCGGGAGGGGGGGTATAAAATTTTTGCGGCACGAATTTCTTTTTCAGTCTCGTGTCTCTGCAGGAATTTTTTTTAATGCATTTAACCTCTGCACGAATTTTTTTTCAAGACTATTTCTACTTCGCTGTTTGCTTGCACGATTTTTTTTTCTCTGACGTAATGGCTGCACGAATTTTTTTTCCAAGCATTTTCCTTTGCACGAATTTTTTTTTTTGAATTTTCAACCCCCCTCCCGGGATTTCTAATGGTCCGCCCCTTAAATTTCCGTTACAGGTGTATTGTCAGCTACAGAGTACAGTCGTATCTACATTTAATTGGCAGATCAGTAGAAAATTTGCAAGTAGATTTTAACAATATAATATAATTGTCGCCCACACCAGGATGCTGTTGTGACTCATGTTGACACAAACAAAATTTGAACTTTTTGGTGCGATTAGACAGCGATTCATTTGTGTACCAGCTATTGCAACGGCCAAAAAAAAAATAAATTTTGTATGTATACACGTGCAGTCAATTTGCAACTAGAAACCATGCTCGTCTGTAAGCGGCTTTAGGGTAACCACACCCACTTTCTGACTTTCGACCTTTTAGTCCTTCGGGTCTAATTGCGTCTATGTACAGTTTAAATTTATTCAAATTAATTCAATTGTCGTGTTATCAAGAAAAATCCTTAAAAGTGAGAGTTCTGAAATCGCCATTATGTTTTACTACGTCTTGGCCTAAATCGACCATTTCTCTACTCATCATTTAGTCGTTGGTCTGCGCGTGCTCTACGAGCAGAAATTTGTCATTGTAGGCAGCATTCTGCAGAGTGCATAAAAAACATATCCATCCATGGATCAATTTGACACCACCCACCACCAGAATAACCGTGGACAGCTCCGTAACGCGTGAGGAAATTGAAATTGAGATTGTTGCGCTAACAAATCATGTTGCGGCTGGTCAGAAATATAATTTGTTTGCCCCCTCCGGGCTTGTTAAAACAATTGTTGCAGTACAGCTAATGATCTGAGATTGATGGCAATGTTCAATTATGCTTTTATAGTTTACTGCAACAAGGAACATTACGAATCTTGATTAATAAAACAAATGAGACACAGAGTGGTGGCGAGTTTCCTTAAAATTTATTTACTTTGTGAGATTAAAAAATTCTTACACTACAAAAACGTTACAAAAACGATTTTAAAAACTACAATGGAGGAACGGTGAAATGAACGCAACTCCTAAATAAATTTAGTCGACCTATAAGTCATTGAGATGTATAAATAATTCTTCATAAATAAAATCATTTTAATCTATTTCAGTTCGATTATACTTAAATTGGGAGAATAACGCGTAGAATATTGCAACTCAAGTCAAATCAATAAATAAACACCTGAATATAAACCTTCTACGAAACTACAAAGATCAAAAATTGACTATTAAATAACCCTATGATTGAGAAATATTTTTCTTAAAAACAAAAAATGGTTTTATTACAGTAATATCGACATCACCACACTAGATCACTATGGAAACGTCGCATGAAAGGTAAAGAAATACAGAAATCACACAAATAACTTGGCAAAGGAAGATTTAATAATTGGACGAAGAGGACCAGACGTTTGGTTTTGCCCGACTACTTCCGTCCCATGGTTCACTGTACGGGTTGAGCTGGTGAGATGTTCCGCTTGAGTAAACTGGGCTGTCATTACTACCATACGTCACGTCAGCTTCGGTTGATGATGGGTCAGCTTCAACCCAAGTTTCTTCACTGGGCATTCCATAATAATCGTGTTGGTATGTTCCAGTCGACCAGGTTGAATCGTACGCTCCAGGAAAGGGAGGGAAGGCTTGATCTGATTCCAGGGTAGGTGAAAAAGCAGTTGACCAACCATCACTTTCATCAGCCCAATGACCTGCATCCCAGATTTCTGCCACAGTCTTAGAACTTTGAGGCATGCCAGGAGATGGTAGTTTGGATGCGTTCGCAGAGCTCTCATCAAAGAAATTAACCCAGTTGGTGTTGCGCGTTTGTTTTATCGGAATCAAATTCTCCAGTGACGGGATTGGTTCGTCAGGCCAGAATTTCTGCACGGAGGTACCGACTTCAACAAAAGGGGTTGATAATCCTGGAGCTTTAACATCATGGAAGGTGTACAGTGGGTATTTATCTCCGTTTGGGTCTTCGTCTGCAGGTGCATCTTTGACATACTTATGTCGCTCCAGCGAAACATCTTTATCAAATGGTGTACTCGTGAATAACGAGCTCGACATGGAGGATGATGGGAAGGATTCTAAAGATGGCGAACCTCTGGGGTCACGTGCTGTTGTATCCCATAGTCCTTTCCAGGCAGGACCAGAAAGATCGTTGACAATGTTATTGCTCGCTAGACGTTTCACAGTGAACGGATCTAAAAAGGAAAAAAAAAACTTCGAGATTACTTTACATTTTTACACTTGATTATAGGCCGAGGACGAAGTCGACATCTAGAGAATAATTATTTTCTTTCTGTTTTGTTAACGAGTCTTGGTTAACAATAAATGATATCATTAGTTTTGGGTACTTACTAGTGTGTTCAGTAGGTTTCTGTATGACCAGTGGACTTGGTTTCGGATTCTTTGAATGTTTCTTTCTTCTAGCAGAAGGTTCACTGTTGGCCGACTCCTCACTTCCAACCACACTGCTGTAACTGCTACTACGGCTGCTTTGACTTAAGTTTTGAGATGAATCTGAGAGTGGTGGCGAAGGTGATGTTGATGAACAACGAGAATGACTTCGTGAAAAACTTTGACCAGTTTCAGATGTGGGGGAATGCTTTAGTGTAATCTCTAATGCCGAGTTAATGGCTTCTGTTATTGTGTGTGGAGTATTTTCACTTTGTTGTGTTTGCTTGCTTGAGTTTGATGAGTTCTTCTTGTTCGCAACACTATGTCCAGATTTACTTGACTGTGGCTTGCTCACAGAACCTGTTGGTAGTGACTTTGATTTATCTAGCTTTGGTTTGGGATGTGTTTGTTCTAATTCGGTCGGCAAACTGGTTTTTCGTGACGTCTTGCTGGTTGCTTTGTTGTTCTGGAGTTTGACTGACTTCGAGCTCACATCTTGTTTCTTTGGTTCTTTAATATCTTCTTTCGTTTCACTATTTTGTTTCACTTTTCTGTCTTTTCCTCTTTCCAAACTGTCCGTCTTTTCTTTATCCTTCGTATTCTCGTTGTCCTTTACTTTGACTTTTTCAAAGACTTTCGTTTTCTTTTCCTCAACTGGTACAAACGCGGGAGATACTTTCGCTGTCTTCTTCCGAATTTTAGACTTCTCCTTTTTCGCTGGTAACGTAGCAACGGTCACGTCACTGCAAACGCTGTTTCCATCGCTTGATGAACTATCACGTTGTGATTTCACTGTTTCATTCACAGGACATTCGGAATTCAGCAGCTCCATTGCCGAGGTATCTGTGGCACTAACACCAGGGAAAGCTAGGACAAAGGGTTTGGAATTCTCTGTATCTGAATATTTTCTTTTTGTTTGTTGATTGCCGCTTGTGGTTTTCTTTTGCTTCTTTGTAAGATCCTTGTCATTAGCTTTTACTTTGAGTCTGTCATATTCTGGTGTTTCACTGGTTATAGAGTTGTTGTTTGATGCAAGTCGTTCACAGCTATCACTAGAGCTTCTTCTGAAAGGCTGAGAATAGGAATTGCCTTTCATCTTTTCGGCAGTGATCACTTCCTTCGTGTTTGCTCGAGCTGATCCGTTACCACCTTGACGTGGAAGATACAAATTATCTGATATAAGTGGAGCTTGTGCAGAAGCGGATATTTTCCGTAGATCAAAAACATCACCGTTCATATGTGTTCCATTAAGTAAGACTTGGTTATGTGGTAATGATGCAAGACTAGCGGTGATGAGTTTTCTTGCCTCAAAGTGAGCCAAGACCAGAGTCACGGCAAGTAAACAAACCATGATAGCAGCTGCGGAGACATACGCTTGATATTCCCAGCGTGGTCGTCCTGCTGCTGCCGCACAAAGTGGGATAAGCTCTGATGGAATTGTTGCAATTAAACTGAACTCAAACACACTGCCAAGTGAAGTCTTGATTTGAAGACGTCGAGATACACGCGAAACAGAGAAATCAGGAGTGAACCTAGAGAAAACAAACAAATTAAATTATAGCTTTTAATTTTAAACATTATGACAACCCAAAACGGTGCACAAATGAAGATCTGATCTAACGATGTGCAGTAAATAATAGAGGTGTGCAAATCCGATCCGATTCGTTCGGATTTCGGAACAAAAATATTCGTTTCGGATTGGATCGGATTGATAAAGTTGTTTCGTAGTCGGATCGGACTTCGATATTCGAAATAAAATGAATTAATTATCCACGACAACGCGGTTGTTGCTGCATTATTTGTTTGATACTTCAATAAGACGTCACTTTGTCAGCTTCTTGACATGTATTTTTTGCTTTTATATTTATTTGGTTAAATATTTCCACTTGAATGAGAAATTTACTTTATTAAAGGATTCTTCGGATCGGATCGGAATTCTTTATCAAAACTCGAATCGGATTCGGATTAAACAATTTAGGATCGGATTGGATTTTAAACATTAGCCAATTGTCGGATTATAAACGTCCAATCCGATCCGATGCACACCTCTAGTAAATACAGAGCTTTCGTAATTCGAACTTATTTCGATTTTTAGGCGCAAAAGGGTCATATATATTAGAACGCATATACAGTTTGTTTCCAAGAAGTCCTATAGTTGGGACATCGTATTTGCTGTTAGGTTTTACTTATATTCACGCTTATTACCTAACTATAGATTTATGTGGTTTGCTTAATATTGACCCATCATACTGTAGTACGAACTTTAGGAAGTCTGCAACAAAATTGACTCGCATCTTGTTTAGTTTCGACAGTTTAATACTAGAGATCGTACAATTTTACTGCATTTACTTACGCAATGTCAATCTTGACTGAAGCAGAAGGTTTAAGATTCAGAGCCTTGCAATTGAGAACTTTAAAACCATATCCTTCACATTCATAACCATCAATATTGAATGATGTTACATGTGTGGCCAATTGACCAGGGTTTGTAGCTAGTACAGTTTTCTTTACAGTAAGTGAACGATATGGCTTGCCACCAGAACTCGGGTTCAACTCTGATAATTAGAATTAAAAATAAGACAATATTAACCATAGAGCAGCACTGTACGTTTATTTCGGATGCCTGGCATCCTTGAGCTTGGCGAAAGGCTGGGTCCAATTTCCCCCCTTTTACATGCTACATCCAGGATAGGCCTGTATTCCCACATGAGACGACATTACCCCACCAACTAGAAAACATCACCACAATGTCTTGCTGGACACTCATTCATCAAAGTGACGAGAGAATCAACCAACAATTCAACATCATTCTCTGCCACATGACCTCCAATACCCCTTATACGGCATGAATACTTCTTTGGCTGGGAGCCTCATCGATCAGGATGAAAGGCTATTTATTTGCACATTATTCATGAGAACGAGGCTGCCGGGCCAAGGAGGGATTTGTCAGGTAATTGTCGAAAGGCTGTATTTCATATGCTGCATGCAATTCTAACAATAAGGCCCCTGTCCAATAAATCTCCTGTCCTCAAACATGCCCGAAATAGATATAGCCCCTCCCCCCGAGCCTTACTGGAGGATTACTGTATATATGCGAGTGGATTAGGTGGCAATGTTGGATAGCTACGACGAAGCAATCGAGAAACGCGTTTTACACGTGACGGCTTCGAAGTCCAGTCACATGTACGACGGCAAAGACTAACAGGCTGATTTGATAACAAGACAGTACTATAAATAAGAGAAACTATGAGGCACATACTTGTACAATCTTCCAGATGTTTTTGTTTTAACTCAAACAAAAGCACACTGTCGCCACTTGGCCTCTTTCCATTAATCATCAGTTCACCTCTTGCTCCCTGACCTTGTACAGAAACAACATCTAATACTGTTAAATTGTTTCTAAAGAAAGAACGAACAGCAGCGTGTGAGAAATATTATCTTTTCTTAAATTCACAACAATGAAAATAGTTCTACATTCAAGGCGAGTTATCGTCTCAAAAATAATGCGCACTCGTATAAAGTCTAGTCATCTACTTTATTAACACATTGTTAGGGGTGCACCGGATTTCAAATCCGGCCGGAATTCCGGCCGGATTTAATGAATTTTCCGGCATCCGGCTTCCGGCCGGATTTGGCCCAAATCCGGCCGGATTTAAATTTCTGTTTTCACCTTAAAAAGCTCACCAAGAATGGGATAAACCATCAATTTGGCAGCTTTAAAGTTTAAAAAAACACTTATATTATTATAAAATATTAAGTTATTAACAAAAAGATGTTTAAAAAAGGTTTAAACACAATCAAAAATCTAAACTGACACTAACTAAAAATAGTAAAAAACATAAACCGTCATTTTGAATACTGATTTATCCCCAATTGTCCCCATTACCGGTTTATCTCAAATCCGGCAAATCCGGCCGGAATTCCGGCCGGAATTTCTGTCCACATCCGGTAAATCCGGTTCCGGCCGGATTTGAAAATTCCAAATCCGGTGCACCCCTACACATTGTACAAAATTTATACGACTAGATAATCACTTCAGTTTCTCAACTCTGGACTATAGTACTGTACTCGGTCTAATTCCACACAAGTTTGCTTGTCATTGGGAGAGCCCTCAGCCAGGAAAAAGCGTGGCTAAAATAGAATTCCTTAAAAGTTTAAACTATGGCTATCAATATACTTTAAGTCATATCAAAATAATTTAAATCAAGCTCAATGGCTGACCTAGGCTCATTCGATAGATGGGAATAGATTTTTCAGGCGGCTGCATCCTCCCACCACCCCTACAAATTCTCATGAAAATCCAAGTGTACACGATTCTGACGTTTTGGGAGTGAGTGCACCACACTGCGTCCCAAAGATGTTCGGCTTTGAATTCAAGCTGAATTCCTCATGACGTTAGTACAAAACCCATTTATGGGTTACACCAACCAGATATTGTACCTTATAAATATGACAGATGTTCTTTGGTCTTCATTTTCCGGTTTAAATTGTAATGGGACGTTCGCTTTAGAGCGTGGAGCAATAATCATAGAGATAGCATCAGGTGAGGTGCGCACACCAATTGTAGCATCTAATGATGATGTCACATCAGAATCCGGTTTGTCTAACAAATACTACAAAATACAAACAAAAAGTGACTATTATTTTCTAAAATATTAGTAGAGCGTTGCCGTTCAAAACCAATATTTTGTTAATGGAATGAATTAATACGCCATTTGTCATGGAATGGAATGAAAATCAATGCCATGACAAATGGTGTATTATTCGCACGTGTAAAGAACGGGTATATGGGTTACCTACATGACGAGAAGCAAAACTAAAGTAATATAGACATACCTTGTCTACTTTAGCTGTTGGCAGTGAGAAACACGAGTGATATGAAGGTTTGGCTGTCAGCAGATCCACGTCAAATCTTAAACAAAAAAGTAAAATTAAATATGTAGATTAAATAAAACCGAATACAAGATTATATTATATACATTAAACAAAAGCTTTTACCTAGTTCAGATTTCGTGCTTATTATGTGTCAAACCAAATGTAATGTAAATGCCCTAAACTCATTAAGGATCTCTAAAACCAACTTTCATGCAAGCCCGAAGCTAATGCTTGCATCTAATTAAACTAAACTGCATGTCGAGCATTGAAAACAATTGTTTTTGCGATGACTGGAAAGAGCCTTTACAGTGTTAGTTACTTGGACTGAAACCAGGGATTTCTATATAATAATCTAACGCCCAAATTAAGTATTTGCGCCAAAACACAAACACGCCTTATCTCAAAGAAATCTTTCCTAGGAAAATCCACTATATCTGCGACATGGTGACTTAAAGCTAGTCTTATAGCATAGTCTATCAAGATATGATGGTCTGGAAACTGAACAGAAGTGTTTGTGTTATGTTTTGTCTGACTTTATGTTAATTTGCGCACGGTCACGGTGATTGAGCTCATTGTATTTTCGTGTAATTCTTTATAACTCATTTGATTAACTCACTTTTCTTTATAACTCATTTGTATTTTCGTGTAAAGCGCCTAGAACAGTCTTGGTTTGTGCGCTATATAAATGTTTATTATTATTATTATTATTATTATTATAATAATTAAGTAACCGTCCAATAAGGATAGCTGAGATGAAAGTGCAACCACGATGAATAATATTTAATGAAGTTGAGACAGGATTTGTGCACGGTGAGGTGCAGTTCAACATCAAACAAAGCTCTTCTATTTTGTGGCTTTGAAGTGCCAGGATTCCTGGCCAAAGACTATTTTGCCGGTATTCCAGTCCATCATATCTTAATAGACTATGGTCTTAGCAGATAGCAAAATGTCGTTTCCCTGTACTTGAGAAACTTTAGGATGGGCGTAGTGATATACTCCTTCAGATGATAGCGGATATAACTAAATTAGAAAGATAATATGTCTTCTACATCTTGTTGAACGTAGTTCAAGTAGAAGTCGTGTGGAAAGCATACCTGTCCGATAAAACTTCAATGACCGATTGGGCATCCGGATAAAGAGATAATGGAACAATTTGAACAACAACTGGAACATCAGCAGGATTCTCTAACGTTAATGTCTTGTGAGATATATTGCCAACATGTGTTAATGGAAATCTGATTGGACGATCCGGCGTCAATGAAGGCCACGTCAAACTGCCTTGCATAGTTACTTCAACACCTTTAACTGTTTCGGTGTCAATATAAAGACTTTGGCTGAAACTATAACCGAAATACAGAGTTTAGTATACCTCACAGAATTTATTTATTTATTTATTGTGCTTCGCTTCCAAACATCATACAATAATTGCATTAAAGAAGCTGGGACACCACAACAGCTTAACACCAATTACAGTGGGCCCTTTACAAAATATAAATATAAATATAGAAAACAGAAATAATTAACAATTTTTCGCCGAAGGCTAGGTGATTATCGGTGAATAGGGACAGAGACAAAGTTGAAGTTTTCATTTAAAAATGGCACATAAAGACGACCTAACAAGTGCCAGAAAGTGAATGTAAAAAAATTTTCACACAAATATTTGCCCGATTTTTTGCTTGATCTACTTCAATGTTAGAGTTATTAAGGCGCAGAAAAACACTTTGTTCGATGCCCCCTCTTGCAATTCTGTAATTAGGCCATTATGCTAAGTTGCTAACTAATAATAGCAAAATAAATCAACATGCACATGAGTATACTGAGTAAAATTAACAATTATGCCACGAGCTCGAGGAAGTCTGTCACTACGAGTATAGGCTATCATGCAGCTATATTTACGACGAGAGCGAATGGTGCAATTGCTTTTATAATACAGACATTCTCCGCATTCACAGACTCTTTTGTTCGCTAATATTTGGTCAGACACAATCCAAGGCATGCTTATAAGAATCCTATATGATTAGAAATATTCGTATTTATTTTACAAGTTCGTAGCGTGGAGAATAATAATAATACACTATATTAACAAAAATATCAGTTTGCCTAAGTCATACCTGTTCCTTTTTGTTTCTAACAGAGAATTCCATTTTCTTTGAAAGCTTTCAAGTACTAATGTATCAATACGTGGCGTATCAGGAGGTAAAGACAGGCTAGAAAACCACGCTTTGTCTGGAAAAAGAAAAGTTGATAAATCAGCCAACATTGAGGAACAAAAAACGGGTGCAAAAAGCCATTACTCGGTCAGAGTCGCTTTTTGTATTCGGCCTCCTTCCACGCCCGACGAACTGGAGTGGAAAGAGATCGAGTAACGACTTTCCCTAGAAAGCACTGGAACTAGGAAAGACAGCTACAACCATCTGAACAACAGGGAGTTTACGCGTGTAAGACGGCAACATCAGGACGACGGCTATCAATACAATGTCATTAGTTCTATAGCACAAAAGAAACTAATAATTAAAAGTATAGCAGGAGTTTCAGACGTCGTCCAGGCTCTGTTGACGAATGACGACGGCAAAATGCATATTTTCACGTCTTGTAAAGTACGCTAGCATTTCAAACCGTGGCCGGCAATTTTTCTAACAGAGTTGATCAAATTGCTCTAAAGGTTAAAGCTCTGTTTTACTCGTTCTAAACTGTATTAAATTCATACGCCGTCGTACATGCGCAAACTCCCTAATATAAGAAGTGAAGAACGTGGACGTTTCGGGCGCTAAGTCGCCCCATCGGAACATAATAATAAATAGCCTGAATTTCAGACACCTGTACTCGTTGAGCAGAATTTACTTCGTGAAAACCTTGTGTGATGACGATTAATTTAAATGTGACCCAACAAGCCACATTATTATTGGACAGTCTGCGTACGAACGACTGCAAAGTGACAAGGGGGAGAATGCACCATTTGCATTATAGACTAAATTTTGATCTAGACAAAAATTTCATCACAGATTAAAAGAGCATCACAAAATTAGTAATATTCCAAAGTTTCGTTGCGAAATGTTGTAAAATGCGGATAATATAGCCTTGCGAAATTTGCAATTTTCAGTCATTTTGTATTACAAACGGAAAATTGATGCCCCAACACCCGATTGGGCTGTCAATTTCCCGTACGTAATACAAAATGACTGAAAAACGGCAAACTTCGCAAGGCTATATTATCCGCATTTTACAACATTTCGCAACGAAACTTTGGAACATTACTAATTTTGTGATGCGCTTTCAAGCTGTGATGAAATTTTTGTCTAGATCAAAATTTAGTCTATAATGCAAATGGTCCATTGGATGACGGTGTCGCTTATTCAAACAAGAGTGGATAAATGAATCGTCGCTTTTAAAATTACCTTTACTTTTCTTTCTTCCGATGCCCAGGTAACAGTCAGTAGAGCAGGCAAGTTGAGGGTCAAAAACAATATCTCCAATCTACAAAATAACGGTAATTTAAAATCACAAGCATGTATAAATTATGCAACTGAAAATGTTAATACGTTTATGTCCTACCTTTTGTCGGTTATTCGGATTAAGTCGTACATCTGATTTGTTGATAGGAACAAATGCAAATGGTTTGTCAGCTTTCACCATGGTAGAAAATACATTTATAGGGTTGAGGAAAGTACTTGTTAGGAACAGCGGAACTTTTTCAGTTTGTCCCTTGAAAAACAAACACGGTTAGCGTTACAATGTGTATGGATGATTTTGATTATGTGATTTTGTGTAATGTAATATGATTTTAGGTTATTCTAAGAGGAAAAGTGACATATATTAAGAGCAAAAAACCTCATCTTGATCAACTTTTTTCCTGTTGAAGTTACCGGTTACGATGTCATTAGATGGATTGCAAATTCATATATAATGACATCATATGAACTCTGAGAATGAACCGTTGATCAAGATGAGGTCTTTTACTATGAATATATATTTTTTTCTTAGAATAATCCAAATGTTTCACAAACCATGGAGTGTACCATGATTTTCATTTTTAAACTGCAATGTTTAACATTTCCGTCGTCATAAAATTAAAAAATTAAAGCTTTTACATGTTCCACACACCGGTATAGTACGAGGATTCAACCGGAAGTTTTAAGTTAATATAAATTTCGCCGCAATTCTGTACACCAACATGACGTCACAAACAGGGTAAACTTGTTAAAACTTCTTCATGCGGGACTAAATTTCTTCGAAAAGTTTCTCAAAATGTTGTGAGTTAATTGAGTACTAAAAAGACTTCGGAAAATCAAGTTTCATATTGATAATGACATGTGGCTTGCAAGATAAAAATTTCGCTTTTTACCCTACTTGTGACGTATGCATATCGAATGCATATCCAAGATGGCGGAAAGCACGCTGCTTTGATCAAAATAAGTCGATTTATTCGAAAATCAAGCAAGATACGACGAAATAATTGTAAAGGATTAATAATCGTATATAATTTTAAACGTTCTTTCAAATCAGACAAACTTAATTTATATTGCCATATCCCTTTAAGGAAAAATTTTATCAACTCAAAATTTTTGGTGAATGCTGCTAAAAGCGATCAGTCTTGGAAACATGTGAGATAGCCCTGATTTATAGTTTTCGTTTAGATTTTAGGATTTGTTACGTGATCGGTGAAAACCATCTATTGCAAGGTGGGATCTTGAAAGAGTTTTACCGACATAATAAATTGAGATTTGGCGCTCCATGCAGTATCTGTTCAAGTGGTCTGTCGGCAACATATATCCTTGCAAGCAATGTTGGTACAGGTATATTTGAGGAATATGCACGTACTGGATATGAATTATTAAATACAATCTTGACCGGTTCCACTTCTATATGACCACTGGCAGCTTTGAATGAGAACTGCATGATCTTCGTCTACAAAAATATTATATTTAATTACACTTTGTAAAAAATCGTTAATATGTTTATTACTGTATCTGCAGGTCAAATTTTTTAATGCAACAAAACTATATACTCTATCGTAATAAGGCGTCTATATATTTATAGTACACCGTTTAAAAAGGTAGGAGGATTAGCCCAGGGGTGTATATTCTTCAATGACCTTTGATTCCTCCCCCCTCTCTCTCTTCAGCTTTGATTTTCTTCCCTGTATCTTGAAGAAATTTGGGCGCGGCATCGGAGTCTGGGCTCCAGAAAAATGATGTTACAATGCTGATTTTGACAAGAAATTTTTCAGTTTATTTAGAATTTCTGCATCTCAATCATACACAGCACAAGAAAATAATTGATTATTGATATATTAACTAGAGATGTTACCCTTAAAAAAGTACTTAAAAAAGTTTTTAGTTTCACAAACAATATATATTCACTTTTTTTAAATTTTATTTAAACATTGACATTATGTTCCAATTTCCCTTCCTCTTGCCATAAAAAGTCATACTTCATGTATTCCCCTCCCCCTCCTTGCTGACATAATATTTCTTAGTTCTTTATCATTCTCAACCTCATCCCTTGTCCTTTCTCTTCTTTTCCTTTTCCCCCCTCATTTTCCTTTTGCCCTTTCCTTTCTTTTCCCTTTGTTCTCTTCTTTTCCCTCTTTCTTTTTTTTCCTTTATCTTCCCTTCCTTTCTTTTTCACTCTTCTTTGAATTTCTTCCCTGGCCCTAAGACCCTTTGATTCCTCACCCCCCCCCCCCCAGGGAAGGGGGATTATAGAAGAATATACACCCCTGGATTAGCCTCCTGGTAAGTGCCTTGTCCTTTTCATCTATTTACTCTAAGGCTATTACCATGAAAAGCTTTAAGAAAGACTTGTCCACTATTATGTATCGGTTGTAACACACGACACTCTAATAATAAACTGAACTAATTTTCCCAACGACTCTCTACCAAAAAGGTACAGACGATAATGTACAAAATCCGTGAAGTCATATATTACCTCGTACGATGTGTTGAAAGTAAGATTCCCAGAGTAATCACCATCTATGTTCGGTACTTTAACATCCAGACAAAATTGCAAAACATGACTGGGCTTTATTGTGATCTAGAACAATAATTTACGCCAATTTGATATATACTTTCAAGGATAGTTTCACTGATAACGCGTGATTGACTTTAAATAATGGAAAAGAATGACAAATTACAAATTGGCGGATACAAACAAACAAACACTGATGAGTTCTTTTTTGCATTTACATGCAGTAAGCTAATAAAAATCAATTCCTCCAACAAGGCTTTTTAAAGTTGGAAAATAAGCAAAATAATTGATCATGATAAGGAGAACAGAATGAGGCTGCATGCAAATAGGCACCAAGAGACACACAGACAGACCGACTGATAATGGAGGGGCGATCATCTGATTAACTACAACTTAGGGTTGGGCGATATTAAAAAAATCATCTCACGATTATTGTTGAGGAAATTATCACGATATTTGATAATATCGCGATAAATGCAATAAAAACATTGACAAGTAAAACAGCAAATTAAAGTAATAAGAAGGCTTTTTCTAGTCCAATATTTACTGTTCATAAACTTGAACTGTCTATGCAGTGTCTACTGTCGGCTCCGCAGGTACAAATGCGGTGGGCACACAGCGCAAGTATAGCATTCAATTTCATTGTTCAGCGGACTACATAAATATTCGCTTTTGTATCGTATTAAATTCGTATTTAATTCAGGAAATTCTTTTAAAAACTATATTTTCTAGGAATTGAAGGAATTTTTAAGGATTTTATAAAAGCTATATACACATGCAAAGCAATATCATGATAGTCAACGAACATGACGATAATTTCGATATATCATCGCTCAAGTTTCTACCTTCGATACGATAATCGCGTTTGAAAATATCGCGATAAATCAAAATATCGAAATATCGCCCAACCCTACTACAACTACAGTATTACATTGCGTAAAACATAAAATGAATTAACCAACGCCCTGAAATTATTTGGAAATAATAAATCCTTATCTCTTACCCCTTCGGCAGGAATATCCACGTAGTGATCTAGATCATCATGTCCTATCTCCATATAATCAAGTTTTGCCAAAGTACTATTGGATGTACGAAATTTTACCTTAATCTAGGAATAGTAATGAAAGTATTATTATACCGTATGTCACAACTTATTTTCTGATTTACAGCTATTGATTAGAACAAATTTGTCAAAAGATGATTCATCGTCCTTAGGAAGGCTATACCATTGAAACAATAATTTAATTGGTTTCAGTGAACAACTGCATGATACTTCATTTTGGGAAAAAATTAAAAGAAAGTAAAGAGAAGACAGATTGATGTTGATAAATTTTTTAACCAACTTGCTGAACTCACTTTACATGAATGAAGAAATGCATTACATTAGCGTATGCAACGACAGTGAAAAATCTGCATACAAACCCAAACAAAAATTTACTTATATGTTTATACATACCGCAATTGGGTTTCTATTCGCAATGCGAAACATTTTTCGACTCTTTTGCTTAACAGCTAGCGTGCCCAAGTTCAACATGGATTCAGAAAAACGGTACTAGAAAATAAAGAAAAAAATTAGAAAGTTTATAGCAAATATAAATTATATAAATCACTGAATGAAACGAAAAAATATATGACCCAGTCAGACCTCTCTCCAACCCTCCTTTTTAAAAATAGCTTTCAAAATCCTTATTTGGAAATAGTACGGGTCTGGGGTGGAAACACTATTTCTATATAATGGCCATTTGCATTTCATGGAAATAGTATCAGAAAACTGCAAATGGAGATAGGGATTCAACAACCTGAAAAATACAAGTAAAACTTCGACGTTTCGAGCGAGGGCACAGACCGTTCGAGTATATTTCATGGAAATAGTTGCATATACTATGGATTAACGATGCAATATGTTTTCCAAAACAGCCTATATCTCTTATGTACATAAATATAGCGGATCTTAAAATCTAGGTATTAATCAATCGCACATGTGCAGTTACCAAATGAATACTATCACCAACTTCAACCTCAAGTTGGACTAACACGCATGTTCCAAGAGGTCACTTAATATATTTTACACTATAATGAACGATTTAGAAGTATTGTGTAAGATGAACTAACCTGTAATTTCCCATCAAAACATTGGACAGGAATAGTGAAAATCGAAGCATTGGTATAAACCCGAATACTCGAAGTGAGTGTTGATGTGGAATTATTGGCGAGAAAACGAATAGAGAACGGCGTTATAGTTTTTTGTTCTCTCGCAATAGTTGGTGAAGAAAAATTCACGATCTAAAAATGCAAAATGTAAAGTTTTACTTACTGCACTACTGAACGTTCAAGTTGTTTGTGTCATCAGATATGATAATCTACAACGTTCGTGTCCTAATCTATTAGCCACAGAATTCCCATTACCGTGCATTGCATGCGTACAGTATGTCGAGTCTATTTTTAAGAGCAATTTTCGCAGAAGGATCACAAGGTGAATTACAAGTGTGCTGAGCCTGCCGTAAATGCAGTCAGTTGAAGTTGTAATTCAATAGTTTGAAAATATATTTAGCCATGATATTTTCTGTGTTGGTGCAATGTACTCAGGTGAATAAGATGCTTGTGATGTTACTCTGAGTGTATATCCACACCGGGCAAGCTTGAAAAATATGCCTGACCACGGTGGGAATCGAACCTACGACCTTTGGAATGCTAGCCCAATGCTCTGCCAACTGAGCTACGTGGTCTGGTCGGTTCGAGTATGTGATATTTCGGAACAGAAATATCACATACTCGAACCGACCAGACCACGTAGCTCAGTTGGCAGAGCATTGGGCTAGCATTCCAAAGGTCGTAGGTTCGATTCCCACCGTGGTCAGGCATATTTTTCAAGCTTGCCCGGTGTGGATATACACTCAGAGTAACATCACAAGCATATTTAGCCACATTATATGTTTGATCAATTCATGTTCAGGACAACCATTATAAAAATCTGATAAAAAAAATAAACTGAAACTTCACACTGCATATATAGTGCATGCGCAACAAGACGACATACTTACAGACACAAAATCTTGAACGTCAGGAGAAACGACAACGCGATATATAACCAGAGGAAAATTAAACGTGTTAGTTATAACCATTCTACGCGCAACAGATTCATATGGTGGTGGACCAATAAAAAACCTGGTTTTGCTCACAGAATATGCCAATGTTCTAGAAACAAAAGAATGTACGAGTTTTATCACAAAGGACTGTTTATATAAGATACTTTGCCAGGACGGGTTGGAAGGCGGGATATTTTTGCAGTGTGAAATATAAGTAATGTTTAAACGGTGATCAAGCCTCGTTTACACTACACTCAATTTTGGTACGGCACGGATAAAATTGGTCTGTGCTCGGCCTTTGCAAACACATAGGTAGTCCGAGCATGGATAAAATTGGTACGGGTACAAAAATTGAGCGTAGTGTAAACGGGCCTTGGGTCAAAACTTTACTCTTTGCTTTGATTTGTCTAATTCTGCATTTTCATTTACAAAATTAGAAAAAAACTTATAAAACTTTGTCCAAAGTCCAAACAAGGTTTCTGGAGAAATATTAATAAACAATCTGTTGGGAAGTTTGGTTAACGTTTTCCGTTATAACCCAGGATTAACCTGGCGGGCTTTCGGACAACGGGCCCTGAAGTTTAACAATATGTCTGCAACTCTGCATGAGCCCCGCTAGTTTCGGAAGACATCACGTGTTCCAATAAACATTAGAAAATAGAGGAAAACACTTGATTATCTTTGTTTGACACTTTGGTCAATTCGCGTTGAGGCAATTTTAAACTTTTACTAGCGGAATATATATTATATAATAACTCAGTGAAACACGCAATTTGATTGGTCAATAGCCGTGCAGGATCAGGCTATCCTGCACGAGGAATTAAAATGCCTTCCTTCGCGGAATTTTCGCGGGATTCTCAAAATGACATTGTTTCACTGTAGTTATTTTATAAAACAATTACCAAATGGTTTTCCAAGCAGGATAGCGTGATCCATGCACTTGGGATGTTGCTCGACTTTCGAAAAGCGTAAAAATACACTCGCCTGCGGCTCGAGTACTTTTACGCTTTCCGAAAGTCTCGCGACATTCCTCGTGCATGGATCACGCAATCCTGCACGGAAAACCATTCGGTATTCCTTTAATACAACTAGCACAACGCGTGAAAATCATTCTTTGAGCGCCGCTCGAATAATTCCATGAGGGGAAGAGCACGCCTACACAAAATACTGTACACTTGCATTGGACGGGGCATTTGAACCCAGAATATTTATAACGAGAGGAGACTTTTAAAATATGTCCATTTTCTTTACATACCGAATTGCATGGTAGTGGTTAAAACACTATATGAAGGAAATGCCTTTTCCCATGTAACTTGAAAGACATAGTTCCCAGAACTCTTCTGACGAGTTTATATGAAGGTTTTGAACAGTACATAATGAGATATTTATGACCAGTTTCTATTCAGAAAATACGTATCCTTTCCCACCAATAACAAGAAACTGAAATAACACTTCTATCATGACAGCAGCAGCACAATAGATTTGCGGTGGTCACATCATATTGGCCACCACTTGCTTCAATTAATCATGCATAGTATATTGCGGACTATCCATTTCATATTTTCAGATCAGTGAAGAAAAAACACACCAATCAATAAATATTCTAATCATTGTTTTGTACTGCACGAAAATCATGAACTTGAGGCTGCGTTTTCTTATAATTCTAGAGTAAATGTCAAAAGATTTGTATTAAAGTATATTTAGCTATTACATGAAACGAAATGGATGATAAAAGACAACGCTTTATACATATATACATTATATAGCGTTTATATTGTATCTAGGGATTTCGACAATAGCAACCGCCAGGTGCTATAAAAATTCAGTTGTTTACACAGGCCGTTTCGCAAATTTCCTTGCTGTTTGAGACAAAAAAACATTAGAGGTAAAGGTTGAAGGAATTTTTAAATGGAACAAATCAAAAGTAATCGTAAGTATTTGTATGTATATGTATTATAACTGATATACAATAGAAACTGTGAACAACTCCAGCTATACCATTTATGTTCAGTCAGTTTAGCAAGCAAAAAATCAAGATTATAACATTTTGAATTATAACAATAACAATCAGCCTTGCATGCACACAATAATGCATTACCCTTGTAAGACGTTCGCTTGAAAGTTAAGCTCCATTCTTGGATTGCCTTTACTCGTTGACAACACAATAATTTTCCCATGGTTTTGCTTTAAATTTTTCAAGTGACCCGCTGCAAAGTACATAGAAGAAGACTGTTTGAACTGCGCGAGGCAAAATCTTGTAATAAATATGACCGGCCATGTATGCATGTACATAATCATGAAATTTTCTATCCTACTGTACCACATTGTTTTGAAGATTGAAAGTGTGTAAAACTAAAGTGGGATGTATGTTGTTCTGGTGCAGGTTTAAGACCACGTCACACGAGGCAATGTTTGCTGCAACTCGCAACGAATTTCTGACATAGAGCGACGGTTATTTCAGAGTTAGTATTTGTAGAGAAATTTTACTCCACCGACATTTCTCTTACTAACTTACTGACGAGGCATGAATTGAAAGAAATAGCCGGCATGCATGAGCATCAGGCATGAAGAACGAGAATAAAAAATATCAGCGGAGTGAAGCGCATTCTCGCTGTTTTTCTGTAAGTATACTTTTCTACGTAACATGGCTTTATGCCAGAAACTGTGTGGCAAGTTACAAATTACAGCAAAAATTTCTTTGTGTAACATTGAGAAATTTTGTGACATATACCTGTAAAAGTTACACTGAACGAGGATATGTATTTCTGAGCGGGTTTGATGAGTGTATTCTAAGAAAAAACAACAACAACACAATTATTACGCGATAATGATATACGAAATTCTACTAAATATATTTTGCTCAAAATCAGCAACTTACCCTTATATGCACTTGTATGGCTCTGTTTGGTGGCTCAACAATGACTTCCTAAAGAGATAAGCATTGCATATTGATAACAGTTTATATCAATTGCCAGTGTTGGAAAATGTATGACAGCGCCATCAGCACGACTGTCAGGACATATTTATCAAAATGTCTTTGCAATATTGTTACGTCCTGCAGATCGTTTTGCAAATCAAGATTGCCTTGTGCGGAGATTGAAGTTTATCACACTGTGATATGATACTTACACAATTAGAAATGTTTATTTTTGGCAAGAAGAGAAATATATTTCCTATGGGCCTGTCAACTGCATTTTCTCACTATTTATAGCATATACGCGTAGCGCATGTTTTGCTTTGTTTTCTAACCAGAGGATTTTGCTTCCCAGAAGTGAAGTGCTCTTGAAACTACAGAACGCAATACACAGTAGTTTTGATGCAACTCTCCTGAAAAAGTGCCTTAACGGACTACGTCAGAATCCTCTACTTCAACCGTATGTTTTGACATAAAGCCAGATTGAAAAACATCTCTTACCGTTAGAGAAACTGGTTTGTTGTGTGTGTTCAATAACGACACCACGATTGATTTTGGTTCGTCTAAAAAAAGCAGAGATTCTTGAAAATAAGTGAAATGCCAACCCTTCACTAACCAGGTGAAACAACGATATTCCTGGCTTATATGTTTTATCATGCATGAATGGGTAAGGATCTTTCAATGATTACTAATTTTCAAGGAATGGACCTATTCCCTAATGAACAAAATTTTGATCTAGACAAGTCTAGACAAACATTTCACCACAGCTTGAAAGAGCATCACAAAATTAGTAATATTCCGCAATTTCGTTGGGAAATGTTGTAAAATGCGGATAATATAGCCCTGCGAAGTTTGCCGTTTTTCAGTCATTTTGTATTACGCGCGGGAAATTGATACCTTTTTTCAGAAAGCGGTATCAATTTCCCGCGCGTAATACAAAATGACTGAAAAACGGCAAACTTCGCAGGGCTATATTATCCGCATTTTACAACATTTCGCAACGAAACTTCGGAATATTACTAATTTTGCATGTGATGCTCTGTCAAGCTGTGGTTTGTCTAGACTTGTCTAGATCAAAATTTTGTTCCTTAGGGAATAGGTCCATTCTCGAAGCCTGGAATTTCTTTTTCTCATATTTAATCGTTACCCAAACCTAGTAATCAGGGCCTTATGTTTGTCATTAACTCAGTGGAAAGAGGAAACACGCTTTCACGCAATGTAAAATTAAACAAATTTTAAAAGAACAGCAACCAGCTAACTCACCCATTTTCCTTAGTGTTCCAAAATCTAGCATATCAACGGAAGGAAACAGTCCAGGAGCTACATGAAATGAAAAAATGGATTGAAACTTGATACTGTTCATAAGTGCTTAGTACAACACTACAATCAATATACTGCGACACCTTCAAAATTTCCATAAACGTTTGGGTTGAGGTGCTGGAGACTGCAAAAGGTGTGCACCCGCGGAGCACCGGTGGAAACTCGGGACGTTTGGGAAACACTTTGAAGAATGGAACTTTAAAATTGAATTTCAGGTAAAAACAAAACAATAAACATTTTATACATGATTAGCAGATTTCCAATTTTGGAATTTTGGCATTGCGTAATTTCGAATTTATGAAAAATTAAAATTGTAGTTTGGTGTAATTTCTGATAGGATTCTTTCATTATTATTTGCATGCACCATATATCTTCAAAATTAAATGGTGTAAAATGTCTAGATAATTCACATTAAAGTAAATTCCAAAATACCATAAACTGGTTCTAAGTGTAAGTGTATCACCAACTCCAAATATCCAGGACTGAGGAAATGGATGTTTTGACATGTTGTAGTGTGCGAGGTTAGGCCTCTACCATAAATTATGCTGGTGTACGATTTATCAACAATCAAATTCAGTGTAAAAAGAGTTATTCGCGCATGCTCCACAAGATAATCTTCACAAGCTTGCTCCAGTTTGTCCACTTTGCTCCACAAGGTTTGTTCATTATTTCATCGCACTCGTCAATTGTCCATGTATCGGATATATATGCTGAAATTTTAGCCCACTTAATTGGTGTTCTAAACTACTATATATGCCATACCTGTTGTGACCTCAATTTCGACAGGTAAAATTAGAAACTGATTTGGAGAAATGAATTGGTTAGTACGAATTCGTATGAATGCTGTGTGATTACTGACAACTTTTCCAAGGAAATTCATTCGAATGATTGCCTTTGTTTCATATGGAGAAATTTGCTACAAAACCATAAACAGAGATGAATAAGGCAAAAAAAAAAAATGTGGGTTTCCGGTTTCCCGACCCTACCTAGCTTTTGGATGCCGAAATCCCGACCCTAAACTTTTTTATTGGATCATGCTTGTACGTGTTTCCACTTAGAGGGAAACGTTTGCGAAAAATGGAAATTTGAGGCAATATTAGGGAAATTTATCTTTGAACGTGGAAGCACTGACTAAACAAAATGGCGTCCGGTTGTAAGGAAAATAAAAAAAAAGTTTAAAAAAAAAGTTAAAACCGACCTACCCTACCTAAGTTTTTACAAGAAGAAATAGGAAACCCACATATTTTTTTTTTGGCCTAAGGGAGCGCATTTTAAACAAACTTGTTTGATGGAAGTAAAAACTGGGAACAAAGAAGATAACAATAAAGGCCGTTGACAAAGTCAACAATGATTGACTGTATGGCTTGGAGAACAAAGGGATTTCCTACACTTGGTGTCGGACTAAGTATTCTGCAAAGGTTTCGTGTATTTGTTTCTGAGGAGAAGAGGAAAAACGACATTTCACAGATTTGAGTCAAGCGTCTATTTTACAATTTCGCAACAACATTTTTTCCAGATGCACATACCCAATGTTCAGGAGAAGCATCATCCTGACTAGATGGAAGTTCTAAATGTAAATCTCCACCACTGGAATAGATTTCAGTAACCTTTAAAGGAAAACATTGCACGTTATGGGAAACCACTGTTATAGAGAGGTTATAGAGAACATGCAGGATGTGCTCTTGAAATATAATTTTTTATTTATTTAAATTTGGCAACATTACAGAGAAAACAAAAATACCAGGAACCTACAACAGGGACGAAGCCCATGCAATAAAAGCCAGGCCCGGCAGGGGTTTCAGAATAAGCCGGCGGCCGCCGGAGTTCCGCCAACTACTTGAACTTCTACCGCCGGCTACTTTTCGTCTGGTCACAGCCACAGGAACAATTTATATACAAAGGTACAAGCGAACCACCACGACGTGTGTTATGTTCTAATTGGAATTCAAGCAAAACATCACTTATTTTGGAAGATCAATAAGATCAATAATATACAATTACTTTATGGTTTCCGTGTTTGAATGGCCTGATCCAAACACGGGTTTCGACCAATCAGAGCACGCGTTATATACATGTTATTTTATAATACATAGTACCAAAAATAGCTTGCTTTCTTAAGTTGCTGTCGAAAAAGCGATAATATAAACATTCTTTGTTTTCTCGTCGCTATCTTGAATTTCGTAGCAAATGGTCAGCGGCTCTGGATCTTCCTGAACAGGAAGATGACTCTAATTGACTTTGACAGTGACTTAAGCATTGGGGAATCTGAATTTGACAGTGAGCCCGAGAACGAGTCAGATTCAGAGCTACTTTGGTAAATGTTTTTCAATTAAGAATTATCTTTGACAGTGAATTAATTATGATAAAGTGATGAAGTAAAGTTCATTACGTACATAAGTGTACAACATCATTTGATTAATGATTTCGGACTCATAACTGAATTAGTACTAATAGTGTACATTGTCATTCTGTTCATGCAGCTGTAAAAATTAAACTATCATAGTAGCACATTAAAGTACATTAGGGCCATCTATACGAACGAAAATAAGTCGCGGCCTAAATAAGCCGCGGCTTAAATAAGTCGCGAACGACTCGTATAAACAGTCAATTTGTTCGCAAGCCGCGGCTAAAATAAGTCCAGGCTTGAAAGCTAGGCCTAAATTAGCCGCAGCTTATTGCAAATTGACTGTTTATACGAGTCGTTCGTGACTTATTTAAGCCGCGGCTTATTTAGGCCGCGGCTTATTTTTGCTCATATAAATGGCCTTATTGTCACTTACAAGTATAAATGCAAATGACATCTAAATCTAACATGTTAACAGTTGTACTTTGTCTTTTTACTTATTCTATATTATTTGATTGTTAATTTGCGGCGAAAGTTTTTTAAATTTCCATTTTCCCCTCCTCGCGGGGAACTATATCAGTCACAACCGGCTACTTTTTTGGTACAGCCGCCTATACTTCAAATCATTCTGAAACCCCTCAAAAGCGGTACTTGAAAGCGAAATTTACGTAGCCTTAATTTATTTAGGAAAACACAGGAAAATTTGCCCTTCAAATTTCAGTCATTCCCTACAAATAAGTGGAGGACAATGTTGGTAGCATTTAACTGAAATCATGCATGTACAGGGACGGAATTTCTTAAGGAAATGGAAAAAGGCACGAAATCAACCAAAAAATTATACCATTTATACAGTCATATACATATTTTAATAATTCTATTACTTGAAGGAAAAAGATAACAAGTGTTTGGGGAATCAATGGATTATACCATAGAAACAACCGTATATACAGTACCTGCAGTGGTGATTCATGTGGATTATACATATGTAATACGGATGTAAATATATGATCGAGTGCCACCCTTGCTCCCAAGTAAGGACGCAATCTGTAAGGATTAGCCACACCATATCCACGAACCTTATAACAAAATATTTGAAATTAGTCTGTGCCATTGTGTAAATTGGTTTAGTCACAACAATATATTTCCATACTTGGTAAGGATAGGCTCCACTTGATGTATGAATAAATAAAGTATTTTCAACATTTCCAAAAGTTCTTGCGAGAAATATAACTTCGAATGTTGTGTTAGACAAAGGTGACAAGGCCTATATGAAGAGAACCACGTTACCATTAATGAATTATGACGTTTAATTGTGATCAGGTGCACGTACTGTAGTACGTTTTCAAACACAAACTACTTCAGTGATATTATGGTCGGTGCCAGTGTATAGGCAGCGACGATGACATGACAGCTGCGGATAGAGAGTACCTAGAACTTCGACGTTTCCAGAGAAGGTCTTAGCTCGAAACGTCAACTTCTGCTTATATTTTTTTCATAAACAAAACTACTTCATCCTGTTGTACTTACTTGATAATTCTGTGTTCTATATATGCCATCATTTTATTCATGTCTGCTAGAAATGTGTCAAGTATCCGCTTACAATTACTATTTTCCACAGCTGTTTAGGTTTTCAAACATTCTGACTTAAAACTGCATGGCGTTCACCATTTAAAATTAGCATAATCAGCTAACATTGATTTTTGGAGAATCCTTTAAATTTGCACCATGAGCAACCGGTTTTAATAACTTCTTATTAACCGAACGCGAGGTCTGTACAGAGAAATATCGGTGCTTTTCAGAAAGAAAAAGTGCTTTGAAAGTGCTTTTCAGCCAATCACAATCCGCCATTTAACCGGAAGTGATGCTTGCCATATAATAAAATGTATTAATTGCTGCTGTTGGTCATTTGAGAATCAAAGATCAGGGATTATTTGCAAGATAAAATCTTTCCATCATATCGTTGTGGTGGAAGATAAGTATTGTTACTACTATACATTAAGATGGTCGAAATAATTTTAAAGTCAAGGATGAAAGCCACAAATTCTAAATTTGAATTATACACAATTTAATGAGTTCTTTGAAAATAAATCAATTTTTCAGTGTTGATTACGTTTCAGTTATTATAAAAGAAAACCCAGGTTGTCCCAGTTACAGTAGTCTCGTTTGATTCCTTTCGTTATACAGGTTTTTGAGAATTTCTTTCTTCAAGAGAATCTATTCAAAGAAATAATTTACCTGTGACTTTGAAAATGAGACATGAAAGTGTGTGTTATCTCCAGAGAAAGCTTGTAGCTGAAGATTTTTCTCACTGCTTGGATTAACCACCACAACATCATGAACATACGGCATGCCAACTGGCCTTGAATCAAGAAATCAGTAGAAACATTAGTATACAACTACTGGTATTATCTCAGTATACTACGGATATTGTAGAAGCTGCTCAGAATTCCTCAGACTCATGATGCCAGCTACGCGAGTCTGGGTGGAATAAACATGTGACAACATGTATCAGAATCAAGAAATATCAGAATCATAGACCTGAATGGATTAACAAAGACCTAAGACCGTTGATTAATGAGACTATGTCACATCAAGAAAAGAGTACAGAACCACAGATGAAGCGCACAGAGCCACAGATGAAGGGCCCAGCCACAGATGAACGGTCTAGCCCCACAGATGCAGGGCCCAGACCCACAGATCATTGCTGGATTTTGAGGGGAAGTGCACACCTCCCCTGAGATCGTTTACCTCCCCTGAGATTTTTTGCACCTCCCATGAAGTCATGCACCTCCCCTTGGGAAAGGTTAAATTATAGATGAAAGTAAAAATTGGGCAAAAATCCGCAAAATTATATGTGTTGCTTGGGGTTTACACTTTGTGACGAAGTTTTCTGCAAAATTGGATGAGTCGTTTAGTCATAATTCATAAAACACCGATACATATGTACAGTACACGCATATGTCACGTAGTTTGACTTCAGGGCTTACCGTATTTACTCGTTTGCGCGCCGCAACGCTCTTTAAATTTTCAGAGCTTCAGATGCGGCGCTCATTCGGGGGCGGCGCTCATTCGGGGGCGGCACTCATTCGGGGGCGGCGCTCAATCGGGGGCGGCGCTCAAACGAGTAAATACGGTACTTGTAATATAAGCCCTAACATTCCGGGGGCCGTTAGCTACCTCCACCACTATTTCCGGCCTTGCCGCAGATGAAAAGTCTTCGCTCAAAACGTCGAAGTTGTTTCTATATTGTTCAGATAGATAGCCCCAAACTCTGTTGAACAAATGTGCAGTCTAGTGTGTACGGCGTTACGACTCGTTAATAGGGACGTTTTGTCAACACGGACGTCAGACTGCCAAGAGGCGACTGAATTAAAGTCAGTTTGTGGTAATCTTCAACACATCTCACAAAACATAAGATTTTTAAAGTTTTTTGCTTCCTTACACGAGCGCTATGAATAGACAACTTGTATGTTAGACTAATTTTTGATTTAGGCAAAGAAAAGTAAATTCCCGTAAAGAACTTATTAAAATAAGTAAAATTGCAAAATTTGGTTGCGAAATGTTGTAAAATACAGAAAATATAGCCTTGCGAAGTTTGCATATTTTCAGTATATTTGTATTACGTGCGGAAATTGTTACCATGCATTTTCGGCTCAAAAATGGTAACGGTTTCCGCACGTAATACAAATATACTGAAAATATGCAAACTTCGCAAGGCTATATTTTCTGTATTTTACAACATTTCGCAACCAAATTTTGCAATTTTACTAATTTCATTATGTTCTTTTTAACTGTTGTGTTTTGATTCCCTTATCTTTACTTAGATTAAAATTTAGTCTAACATGCAAGTTGTCCATTAGTTATACCAATTTTCGCGTGACGTCCGTGTTGTTGTCGCTTGCTTCAGCTCACTATTATCACAATCAGCCCAAAATGTTGCCCTGCATACGTTGGTATTACATCGCGCGAGCGCTATTAACCGTTGTGGATCACCATTCTCGCTTACGGTGAAAGAGATTAATGGACTTTCTGTCCTCTATAGAAATGCAGTACAAAGCAACGCATTGTGTAAAGACCCAAGGATAGAAATGCACAATAAAATACTTTTCCCTTATAGGCGAATGTTACTCGTGAAAGAAGCGGTATATGGGGACCAAGAACATGCGAATAGAGTTGAACGTCAAGAAGTCCTTATTTGGTATGTCATAATGTTCATTATGTTATACACGTTTGTTATTATAATAGTGTATGGTGTTTATTTTTGTCAAAGATTGCGAATTGTCAGTTGTTCTATTTCCATTGAATACGAGTACCATGCATGATTCTTTGCAAATATATCTCTTTAATTTTAAGAATTACACATTCTGGCATACGCACTAAGTAAACATAATCACGGCAACTGGATATTAGGTATATTACTGTAGGTTGTTAAACCTGGGATGGCAAAAACGGGAAAAGAGTTGGGTCTAGGTTGAGGTGCCTCATGAATATTTTTATAGTATATATTAGCCTCCTTTGTACGTGTCTGACAAGATCTTTGTGCTTTGCTGGGGGAAATTTATTCACAAAAGCAAATATGATTGATGCATATATTAGCTGTATTGAATTCGAGGCTAATCGTCGTTTATACAACTGCATGAACAGCACATTACAATAATCTGGGGGGCATGCCTCGAGCATGTAATTTCATAGTTACAAGTTGGGTCAGTTTGTATCAGGAGCAATTATAACAGATAACAGAGTGAGCAATTATGTTAATAAAAACAAGTGGGTACACCCTTCCGGAAAGAACGTCATTTTGGCAATAGAGCCTCGTTTACGCGATGTGACATTAGTTAAAGCCCATGCAGCGTCTCACTCACGAAAACGAGGCTCCATCACTGATCTAATCAGTGGGCTCCATAAGCAAGGCGAGCGTGTGTTGCATATTTATGCATGCGTTCAATTGAATAAATACAGATCAGGGTAATTCTATAATAAAAACTCTTTATTAGAAAATAATTGTTCCGTTTAACATTTTTTTAAAGTATGCTCTCATGAAAATTTGATTTCGTTAAGGAGTCTTAAGGACTGGCTTTCAAAATCAGTTACGAAACTTTCATTATTTTTCTAAGCACATGCAAAGAAGCTGTAAAAAAACATCACGAAGTGCTATGAAAGTCTTATTTAGGATTTCTTAAAACAGAAAACCGACAGAACATCGATACACTTCGCAACTACTGTATATGAATACTCGATGCTGTACTAATATAATGCATTAAGGCGTATTTAAAAAAAAAAAAAACTCGAAAGCCAAAGGTGATGAAACTCAATGTGGCACTCAATCAGACAATACTCGATTGTGAGAACTTTTCAATTGAAATACAAAAAAATCTTGATAAAAAGAATTTAAATATTTATGAACATTTTGGAGCATATACCTGGGACTATAGTTGTACAAAAGCCGGACATACGCGCTATCCACCTGGATAGTGATTTTCAACCTTTCTAAAATTGTTCCGCGTTGATTGGCATAACCAGGATGAAACTTTAGTACTGATTTATAAATTGTTTATTTTTACTAATGAGGTATATGCATGTCTTTTGCGTCCATAGTTTACCCGGCTTTGTACAACCAGCCCATGAAGACTAAAGACTAAAAGTAGATAAGATGTTGTCCTATAACCACCATGTTTCATATTACCACGAGGTCTCGATGAATGCAATAGGATAGGCCCAAATAATTATAGCAATTGAAAGAATGTAATTAAAACCTGGATGTCCGCATATGCTGAGTGAGTCAGGTGGTCGACCACATACAACATATATGTCATATATAATAGTCACGTTATATATTTATATACAGTAAGCATCTCCAATTCTTAATCTTCCGACATTATAATTATCTAGACTAATCTATATGCCTGCATGTGTACAACAGTCTGCATGAATGTACAACCTACACGCTACCACTAATCTTGACATTGCATGACATGCAATACTAATATATAATTACATCAAAGACTTCTTTGATTCTCTGTTAACTTATAGACTACATGCATATATTACATGCACTAAAAGAAATGTTTGTGATCCTGCTCATATTGCTCATTATAATAAATCAAACAAAATACTTTCATGGTCGTACATATTAAATAAGAAACCAGAACAGGTACTGTCATAGATATCTTATATATCTATATATGGGTACTGTGCAACGATATTATGACTGTTATTTATTTTCTAACGTCATTTTAAAGCTTTGAAAGAACTATAACTATAAGAACTTTAATTGTAACACTTTTTTTACCAATTTAGTAGGTCAATGATAATTTCGACGTTCATTTTATCTTTGCCTTTGGGCTTTGGAATGGACTTATAGATTTCACACCCTTTATATATTAGCAACTCATGCATAATGCCGATTCAAAGTGATTGTTTGATTACGATATTCGATAAACACATGCATTCTTTTCAAACTCTATAATTTTGGAAACAAAAGCGATACTTTGAGTTTGGTAGCAACATCATAGGAAAACGAAATATAAACGCATTTCATGGTTCGCATTTATAGCCAATCACACGACGACACATGCTATGCACATGCCACTGCATGCAGCCATGCATGATAGCACGATTAACTTGGAATTTAACATTAAAACTTGAAAATTACGATGTTTACTTCATTCTTCAAAGTTTCATGTTAAAATTTTATTAATATCGACGAGATGAAGCATGTTGATAATGTTCGTGCAGTCATTCACTTTCATCAAAGAAACTTTGTGTAAACCGAGAGCTATATTATAATACTGCTTCGACGAGTCAGCGGTAAAATATATATGTAATATGCCTGTTTGACAATATTCATATAAATAGTGGGTTTATAATAATCACCAACGTTAGGCTACTTGCTTGTTTAACTTGCAGTATAACTAATTAACTATAATAAATATAAGTGTAGAAAAATAACCTTTCTGACATCTTAAGAGTGCAGACTTAAAGACCCTTTGTCGTTCCGTGAGGAATTGCGCGTTCACACGCGCATGAAAGGAAGTTATATACTAATGAATTGCGAGGGAACAAATTGGTTTTTTGCACGAAAACATTTCAGAACCGATTTGAACAGAAATTACAGAGGCGTACTCAGGAATATTAAACCTAGAATTGTGCATATATCTTACAGATTGCATTTATAATAAACATTATATATATAATAATATTCACTCCAAATGCATCTTGCAGTTTCTTCATTGTATTGTCCGTGGCAATTTCCCCGCTTCTCGTTATGCATGTGGTTATATATAAAAAGAACTAATTTTGTTAAACTTTTTACTCAGTTAAATTTTAAGATTAAACCCAATACACGAGAAGGGGAAGAACATATGATCACATGACTAAGGTCCATTAAGGCAGGATACAACCCGCACTACACAGTGAACAACTAATTAAGGAAAAGCGGAAAATGGCTAGAGGAAGAAAGATCATCCAGAAGGAAACATTAGTAGTACATAATCATGAATCAATGATGTTATACAACCGCTGCCGCTCACTTTCTCAGTACGTATTTGATTGGTCAATTGGGTAGATTAAACGTATCTGATGGGTTAATGGTAGCGGTAATGCAAGTCAAATATGAACTTTCTAATATAAATAACCTCAGGGACTTTATAAGGTCTGTGGTTTCTATACAGTATCCTCCCATAGCCCTCCTCTTGTACAACTAATATAATAGTCTTATTTTCTATTAAGCCCCGTTTACACAAGCAAATTTTATTTGACAAATTTCACATGTCAAAGATATTTTGCTCGTGTAGATGATAAATTTGTGACAAATTTATTGTGACAAATGCATTTGAACAAAAGCTAGCATGCTAGCTTTTGATCAAATGAAATTTGTCAAATAAAATTTGCTCGTGTAAACGGGGCTTTACTGTCAATTGTAATAAATTTGAGCGACTTAATAAAAAATGTTTCCTACAAAAAGCATCCACGTTTTATTAGAATGACCTTTACTGGGTTGTAAGCAGCCAATCATACAACGACACATGCATGTTTTGAACAGCTGACGTTTATTCATACTGGCGGAAGTTCAAAGACAAAAAAATCATATTCACCTGAGTACATTACACCAACACAGAAAAAATCATGATCACTAGATTACACTGATATCGAAGGAACTAGATTCTGTTCCGAAATATCACATACTCGAACCGACCTGACCGCGTAGCTCAGTTGGCAGAGCATTGGGCTAGTATTCCAAAGGTCGTAGGTTCGATTCCCACCATGGCCAGGCATATTTTTCAAGCTTGCCCGGTGTGGATATACACTCAGAGTAACATCACAAGCATCAGTAAGAGAAATTAAAAAGAGTTCAAGCCTGGCTGTAAATGAATATGTACATTCGGAATAACTATTAGTCTATCGTAACTAACACGTTTGTTAGGAAAAGCAACAGAATTACTGTACTATATAGCAGAAAATTTAGATTTAGAACAAATAAAATTTTTTGTTCAACTTTATAAAACCAAAATGATGTTACATTGACAAAAAGAACGTCAAATACGTAATGCGCGCACATATACTGCGTGAGAGTTTAGGATGTGCAAGTTTATTATTGAATATTATTGTACTTGAATATGAATGTGAACGATTTAAAATCGTACAAGCCAAGTCGAGTAATTTGATGACAGTAATAATGTTGTTGAAAATGCAAACTAGCTAGCTTTAATCTTAAATAATTAATAGAATACGCCTAATGTTTAGAGAGTACAATGGCTGCTAAGTAACAATATGATAAAAATAATAATTGATATACAATAATAAATTTAAGTATTTGCATTATGCATGTATATCACTGACACTGTTGTGGATTCCCTGCCATGACTAACGTACTGATTAATGGGCTGCAACTTCTTTACTGTGGATTATCAATCCTGACACTACTTTTTATGTAAGACTAATAACATAATATCAAAATATCTTCAGACTTTTCATGCAGAAGTTCCTTATATTATCATGTTTACATTTGAATGTCATCTAAGTTTTATTATAAAATTTCATAATTGTTATTAATGCTTCATAATAACATCCAATCCACAGCTGAGCTTCCAAAAGCACCATTACGGAAAGCAAATTGTTTCAATCCAGAACGATAGAACTCCATCTGCATGCATGCAACTCGTATTTATATTGATTTTCTATTTTATGCCCACTAAGGTGGGGGAGTTTATAGAACAAGGGAAATATATCAGTATTTTTCAAGTGTTATTAAGAGGGTGGGGGTTAGCCTAAATGTCAGGCACTCAAACTGTGTGTGTGTGTGTGTGTGTGTGTGTGTGTGTGTGTGTGTGTGTGATGCAGGTAGCTTTTACAAAGGTGAATGTAAAAGTTATCATCTATGGCTTCTCTGTGAGCAACAAACTTAAAAAATTTAGAAATCATAGAAATTGCCGATCTTCAAAAGAAAAAGTAGAATATTGAAAATTGGACTTGTGCAATTTTAGTTTGACCAAGGTGATACTAATCAATATTCGTTCAACAAATTGTCAGCAGAAACAAGTTGGAAGGGGAAAAGAGCGTCTATAAGTTGTGCATGTATAACACAAAACTAGCTTAGGAGTTTCACCATGTCACATACAAAAATATTCTCCTTGATGACATAACCATTTTTTACCTAGTACCATGCATACAGCATAGTGTCTCGTTGTTCACCAAAAGAACAAAGAATAGAATAGACATTACTGTTTAGTGCATTTTTGCTCCAATAGCCTTGTTTACACAGGGATGGATCCAGCATGATCTGGTAGGGGGGTGCTCTAGTGCCGACTGCCGAGTTGTGTCGGTCATGTGTGCCGCCCGCCCATCAACTACTGTATTTAAATTGTACTTGTTGTTCACAGTTCACTTATAATCATGTTATTACTCAAATTACTGTATCTCATTTTGTCTTTTTTTGCTTTATCATAAAAAATAGCACCCCTCCCTGCACCCCCTCTGGCCAGGGCTAGGGGGGTGTGCACCCCCTGCACCCCCCACAGTAAATCCATCCCTGTGTTTACATGTATGGCAGCGTGACAGGCACACAAGAAGGTTAATTATATCCTCATGTCTTGTGCACATTTCTCTTCAATCTTGATCCCAATCACACCTATCCTTAATTTAAACTTATTGTGCACAAAACATGAGAAAATAAGCACATGAAAATAAGCACATGAAAACAAGGCCATTTGAGCCAGAGTGCAATAAACAGACTCTGTATGGTCTAGTGGGAGTAAGCTGTGGGAGACAGTTGTGGTCTCCCTGTTCGCTATCTAATATGTGTGACATCACAAGGGCAGTAAAAAAGCATCTGCAGAGGAGAGAGCTACAATTAATAAATGTTCAGATCATCACCATGTATAAGAAGAGTAGGGTGTACTGGGTTCCCACAAAATTATTTGGCTTTAGATAGAGTAAAATGACATAATTGAACCTGCATTGGGGTAAGTTTCAATTAATGGCAAAACCATTAAGTTGCACTCTAATGCACCATACTTTATTATTTTACTCTGTCTAACACCAGATGATTTTACTTGTGAATGGGAGAGTGCTGGCACTCAATGGGTTAAACCACAATGTGCCCCTATGCCTCTCTCTAATCACAGACAATTTTATCCCCTCATTTTACCCTAGCTTTCAAGGGAAAAGTGTTGGAGATTAACCCATTAAGTTGCATTGCTCCCCAATGCAGCCCTACTTTACTATTTTACTCTGTCTAATGCCAGATGATTTTCCTCGTTAACAGTTAGGGGGATAGCACTGCATGGGCAGGGCTAACATTGATATGATACAGTAAATATTAATGCAGACATATAACGTCACATATTGGAAAACAAACTAGAAAGCCTCTATAAAAGTAACTAAATAAAAATAATCTAAAATTAAAATGATTGATTGGGATGCTGAAACTCACAGCAGGAGAAGTAAATAATTCTGTTCAGAACAATCTCTATAGTTGCATGTACTTTAAAGAAATTTATATTCAAATCCTGATCTGAGTTCTCACCCTTGTTATAAAGTACATAAAGATAATATGTTAGGATGTTAATAGTTTTAAACTGACAAAACAATGCGTTTCTTCTGCGATGCCGGCCTTTTACAACCAGAAGTAAACAAAGCAGGTGTTACTGCGCGACAGACTGTACGATAATTTAGTGCAACACATCATCTCACGGAAACATTTAGAACTGTTACTTACTGCTCCCCAAAATCAAGATAAGGCGGTTCAAAACTGATGGCTCCCATGTTAAATGACTGTTTACCATCATTATCAGACCTAAAGTAAAACAAATTGTTCTACTCAGCAAACGTTGTTCGTATATACTAGACAATACTGTCAATACACTCACGAAAAACCACTAAAATAATAACTGTCACAAAACATTTACAACAAAAAATTATTATTTGACAATGCATAGCCCATAGATTAATCAAACTGAAAAATCTAGACCACGTTTATATTCTCTTTTAATCGAGATAGTTTGCGTGATAAGCGAAGAGAAAGTCGTGAAGGCATTCACAGGATTATATACAGCTTTGCCAACTCTTTGACAAATGTTCATTGCCGTTGTCCCATTAATAGTAAAGCTTAATGGGTTTTGTATGCTTGTAATATATTCCCCGTGTCAAATATATTTTAGAGAATTCAAAATTTAACGAACAAAAGTGAAATGAAACTTGAAAATGCAAAACAAAGGTTACCTCGTTTCACGCTCATGATTTCCCTACATAAAAATAACAAAATTAAATGAATCTAGAAATATCGCTACGTAGAAAAATAGTCGTTTCACACAGAAAGTTAGGAGACTCCTTGGAGACTCACATACATAGGAATCATGGCTTTTAATTGTAATAGTGTTGGAATAAGGAAAATACACATGTTAAGGCCCCTTTGCGGAAATAAATACAACCACGCACACATAGTACAAGGTGTTGGTGAACGACTCAATGTATAATACATATTTCATGCAAAATGGCCATACGAACGTCGGCTTCCAATTCCTTAGGTTTTATTTCACAAATTTTCGTAATTTATAATGCCAGTTTAACAGCTTTGGAGTATGTATGTTTCGACAGAACTTATATCATTTCTGTACACACTAGTACTACCAGCTTCAAAACACAACATGACAATGACATCTGTCTGCTGCTACTACGCCAAACTTACCTCAGCGGCAAACGTCATTCTTTCTCCAGAAAAAACGCCTATAAATGTGCATACAATATCCAATTTAAAATATCTTCAAAGGCTGTAAATTATACTTTATCAAAGGGGTTGAAAATCATAGATTTATACAGCTAGCTAGAAGCATGTCTGTGTTCATAAAAACAGTGTCTTTGAACGATCAAATGGAGCAAAATACTCGAATATTCACTGAAAGATATTTACCTGGATGAAGCATTTGGTTGCATTGACATGCCCCCTCTGTGAATTTCAGCAATAATGTACAAATAATGCAAAAAATAAGAAATATAGTTGTGAAGAACCCCATAATAACATTCTTCGTTTATACATGCATTGATGAACAACGCCGTCGCCAACGTTTTCTCGTCCCAGTTCCTGAGTGTAAAACTTGCGCGATTGAACAACAATCGAACAAGTGCTAATTACTCAATTCCGGAAGACAAATTTGTAAAGATCAAACATAAATAATATAAATCTGATAAACATTTATTTTTCACATGGCAATTTCGCATAACCTAACCAATCGTAATACTGTATCGATCCTGTGTCACTGATTCTTTTTTTTACCAATGGTTACATTTTAGTACTTTAAAGCCCCGTTTACACTACGCTCAATTTTTGGTACGGCACGGATAAAATTGGTACCCGTACCACTTTTTGGTTCTTGGACTACCTAAATAGGTAGATAGGTAGTCCAAGAACCAAAAAGTGGTACGGTACCAAAAATTGAGCGTAGTGTAAACGGGGCTTTAGACTAATTAAATTTGTCCAATCCCAGCCCTAGATCAGAGGCCCTAGATTGTCCAATTCATGCGAAGGTGGCTGTTTTGAAGTGTTTTCTCAACCCATAGTTCAACCCCTACCCACATTTTGTGCACCAACCCTTTAATTGAACCACCAGCTACGCTGGCTACCGATAATGGCGCTTGTTTGTATTTTTGGTGTAACGTAAGTCAATAAAATGTCCAATGTTTTTTATATATGGCAGATAGCTTTCCGTAGCGGAGCGAAAAAGTACTCATCTGATATGGAATGCCTGCGGATGCTTTTATTTCGGAGGTGATCATGTAAAGATGAGTAACAAACTTGCGTAGTTGTTCATTTGTGACGCATTTCCTTGTTTGTTATAACAAGACCGATTGTTATATAAGGGAAACTTTCTCTCAACAGTGTTGTCATGTAACAAACACGGAAATGCGTCAAAAAATCCACAACTACGCAAGTTTGTTACTCTTCTTTGGATTAGCTTTCTAATAGAGGTCCAATCGCCTCCTTAACTTAGAAACGCGGCTAGTGTGTTTTGCCAATTTTGTCAAGATACTGGATCGATCGTTTGTGAGGGTGATCGGTTAGGGGGAAAGGAATGAAAATCTTAATCAGTGAACCACCTAGCCTAGAACTGAACAGTTAAAATTAAAATTAAAATATGTGCGATCAATCAACGACGCACAGGTCGGTTTATCTGAGACCCCGTTTACACGGTACCCAGGGCCGCCGAGAGAATTCGTGAGGCGGTGAGGCCCGGGGCAAATTTTTCCTGGGGCCCCATGACATCATTATTTTTAAGCTAGACCCAACTAGACCTTAACTAGACTGCATGTAGAGGTACTGTAAGGGGCCCTCAATTTCAAAAATGCTTTGACCAATTTAGGAACCGTTCATTATTTATACCCTAGGGGGGGGGGGGGGAGATTCTTATATCATATACAAAAATCTTGTAGCCTTCCCCCCTCTTGATGGTCTAAATGTTGAAGACCCCCCTATAAAATACTGAAAAATCTATACACCCCCCCCCATTTGTATGAATGTTTTAATACTGTAAACTCGGAACACTGTATAAGTCAAGACCCAGAACTATTGTTTCCCTTGCATACTTTTGCTTTACAATTACGAAGTGGCTATTCGTACTGGAACAATACGCCGAGTTTGATTTGCTATTCGTACTGCAGTTGGAATATTTAAGATAAACAGACCCCAACACCAAACCCTTCGTCCCTTCTCTAATCCTAACCCTAACCAATAAATGTCTACGAAGGGTTTAAACTGCCGGCTGTGGTTTCGTACCCAATACCACACATTCTCGGAGTCAGTCCAAAAGATCACTCGGTCGACAGTCAGGACTTTCAGAAGACTTTGTACTAAACGGCTTGAGAGAGTGGCACCCATAAGCTCCAGTCTGGGAATCATCATCGCTTTGGTGGGGGCTACACGGCTCTTTGATGCGACAAGGCGTGATGTAGGGCTATCGTCTTCATATTGGCACACTAAATAAGATGATGATGCGTAGGCGTCTTTAGAGGCATCCGAGAACAGGTGTAGCTCCGTCTTATTCGGGTTTGCGAGGCGTAAGCAACGTGGTATGGCGACATGCGATAACTGCGAAAGTTCTGTAGACCAGTTCTTCCACTTAGTTGCTAGATCACTTAAAAGGTTGTCATCCCAATCCAACCCTGCTCTCCAAATCTCCTGCATGAGAATTTTAGCCCGAACAAGGAATGGCGAGAGAAACTGAAGGGGGTCGTATACAGCAGCTATGGCGCTCAGTACATTACGTTTCGTAGGGGTTTTATTCGCATCAGGAGGTTCCACTCTGAAGGTGAATACATCTCTTTCAGGATCCCACAAGACTACCAGAGTCTTGGTTTTAGACGGCTCTTCTTTGTTAATTTCAACAGCAGATAACCGGTCACTCTCGGGGATGCTTGCGACAACTGATAGCTCGTTCGAGGACCATTTCCGCAGCTGAAAACCTGCCAGACCCAACAGGTCAGATAATTGACGTCGCAAATCCTGGGCACTTTATAGTCTCGCTTGAATCTAAGACATCGTCAACATACATCGAGTTATCGACCGATTCTGCTGCCGCTGGGAACGTCTCTGTATGTGCTTGAGTGTGGGCATGGATTACATACTGTGCGCAGAATGGCGAGGCAGTATTGCCAAACAACAGACCGGGGAAACTCGTAGACGTCGGGCTCTCTTGAAGGATCGAAATCTCGCCATAAGAATCTGTGGAAGGGACGATCTTTGTCTTGTAGACCAACTTGCAGGAACATTTCAGAAATGTCTGCGCACAATGCAACTGGTGCTCGACGGAAGCGGGTGAGAACATCCACTATTTCTCGTTGTAGTTTCGGGCCTGACCGTATGCTGTCATTTAAGCTCTTTCCGTCATGCTTCATTGCCGCGTCGAAGACAACACGAACTTTAGTCGCATCTTTGCTTGGCTTAATGACCGGAAAATGTGGGAGGAACCACTGCTGTTCTACCTCGGACTTGGGTACTTTCTGGATGTAGCCTTTTTTCTCATAGTCCTTGAATACTTTACTGTAGGCATCCAGGGTGCTAGGATCTTTCTTCCTGAGGGATTTCTCTTGACTCTGGAGTCGTAACAACGCCGCTTCGTAATTGTTAGTCAACTTTGGCTCTCCGTCCTTCCAGGGGATTCCTACCTCGTACAGACCATTTTCAAACTTTAGGGATCCAGCTACGTTTGCAGTTGCTACTCTTTCGTCGGATGTCATCGCCTGTTTCTCAGACGTTTCTTTATTCCGAGAGCATCAAGCTCCCAGAACTTGCGTAGAATGTCGTCCGGTGGTGGTTGCTGGTCTCACGTGGCTGGTACGGTACGTGCGTGTAAAGTGGGAACGAGAGTTGCGCCGAAACTCGTTGACCAACGTTGGCCCAAAACAAACCCAGCCCAACTTGGTTAGGCGTGCTACGGGATCACTTGGTTGGCTGCCGCGAATCTCTTCTAATACGTAGTGGAATACTGGATTATCGCTGCCAAGCATGACATCAATCTGCTGTCGCCTGGAAACATTGTCGAAAGGGATCTTGTGCAGATGAGGCCACTTAATTTTCCTTGAGTTCTGATCACTGTATGGCTGACGTGTCGTTCGCAATGTTATCTATACACATGTGCTTGAACAGGTGTTGTAAATGACCTATCTAGACTAGTCACATTTAGTTCCACTCACCGGGATCTTTTCTGGATCTCGATGCCCCCTATTCCCGCAATCGTAAGGTTTACGTTTTGTCCATGCAACCCAAGCTCTTCTGCTGCTTTCTCTGATACATACAGGATCTGGTCGAACAGGGGTCAAGCATTACATTGACCTTTAACTCTCTGTTTCCATTACTAACCAGGGCAGGTATTACCATTAGAGAGACGTTCTCTACTTTAGTTGTATTATGTGTTCTTTCTTGGGGCTGGAAATTGGTTAGTGGCAGATTGTCAACACGTGTCTTATCATTACGAGGAGCCTCTCTATTTTGGTTCGATTGTCCTGGGGGGACGTATGTCGGTGCATCAGGTCGTAAGTGTCCTCCCACGTCGTCCTTGTGTTTTGGAGGCTTACATGAAGGTAACTGCTGTGGCCTTTACTCAGGCACCCACCAACACCACACTGTCTCGCTTTGGTGCAATCTTTGCTTCGATGGCCAGCAGCCAGACAACAATAACAGCGTCCAGCCTTGGTATTTAATTATTTTCTCTTTAGGACGGGTAGATCTTTGAAAGCTTTACAAGCACACGGTGGGTGATCCTCTTTACAGTTTGGAACAATACAACATCGCGTGGTGAATCTAGTATTGAAGCCTCGAAAGCGTTTCTTCTGTTCAACACGGTTGTCCGTCTTCTTTCCAATGCCATTGGTTTCTTCTTTCGGCCTCTTCCGTAACTTGTACTCGTAATTCAACCCATTCTTCAAGTGCTTCAAAATTGTCTTCACGCGAGTGGTCCATCAGCCAATATTTGTAAGCTTGCACGTCTTTATTACTTCGGATTCCTGCAAAGTTCTACCAGGAGGTAGCCTTCCCATGCCAAATGAGGTACCAACAAGAAAGAATTTTGACCAACATTTAAATGATCATGGAAAAATTCTGTTAGAAATAAAAATTGTTTAATAGATATAATAATCTTAAATGGAAGATGCAAAGGTGACTCCTTCGGAAAAATAACTTTTCATGGCCAACAGCGAATAAGTACAATTGATTACATGATTGTTAGTCATGCGTTACTGGACAGATTTCAAAATTTTGTTATTAGACAACCTTCTCCCTACTCAGACCACTCCCAATTAGTTGGCTGGATTGAAATTAACAAAACCATGCACAATAAAATCATCAACAAATAATTCACAAGAACTTTTCAATCTCCCAAAACAATTTAAATGGTCTCAAGAATCAAAACAAAAGTTTACAGTAGCCTTACAATCTTTAGAATCGAAAGAAATGATTTCTGACTTCGAAAATACAGATCTTGAAACATTGAAAGATGTTGATATGGCTGTAAATGAATTTGTAAAAGTTTTGGACTTTGCAGCGAGGAAATCATTACAAATAA